GGAGAGAGGGAGAATATAAATGTGCTTTAAAAATATTTTTCTCTGCCAATCTAGATGGCCTGTTTTCTTTGTATTTTCTTTTTTAGGTCAAATGTATCAACAGTACCAGCAACAAGCTGGCTATGGTGCACAGCAGCCTCAGGCTCCGCCTCAGCAACCTCAGCAGTATGGTATTCAATATTCAGGTGAGCAGGTGTTGAAAAGGAGGTGGCTTATGGTTGTCGATCTGTTTCTATACTTTCTAAATTTTAAGCCCTTCCCTTTAAGTACCTGACTGTAATACATTGCCATAGTAGGTATTAAATACTTATCAGGGGAGACATTTGTTTTATTTAAAATTTATATGTAAATGTTTTATTGGAAAGATTAACATTTTGTTCTCTTGTAGGCAAATAAGACAGTAGATGATTCTGTAATAACTTGTAGTATAATAAAGCTTTTAATACAAAGCTATCTCTTATGAACATGATTAGCTTAGCCCTGTAAAAAATACAAGATTCCACCCCATTTATATGTAATACATGATTCCAGTGTATTCTTAGTGCCTGCAGAAATACTAACAGTTCTCTCAAGCTTACAAAAGTAATCTTATTAAACAAAAAGTGAAATAAGCTACTTCGGTGTTTACGTCTCCTGAAAGAATGTAGGAATACCAAAAATTGGCTGTAAAAGTAACTTAGAATGTAACTCGGTCAACTAAGAAGATTAAGTTTAGCTGTTTTAAATAAGTATCCAGGGTGTTTTGCTTTTGTTATACCTCTGTCTACTGAAGATTATCTGTATTTAAATATGATAAATCTCTTTAATGTAGCTTTGATTATACTTTAGGTAATTTTATATTTATGCCAGAGAGTTTGATTCCAAGTCTTGGTTTACAGCCAGAAATTTAAGAATAAAACTTTAAACTGTAATTAAAAATAGTTTATGAACTGGGCATAGTGGTGAATGCCTATAATACAGCTACTTGGGAGGTAGAAACAGGAAGACTGGAAGTTGGAGGCCATCCTGGACAATTGAGACAAATGAGACCCTGTTTTAACATAAAAATAAAAAACATCTGGGGTTGTAGTTCAGTGGTAATGTGCTCACAAAGCATGTGTGAAGCCCTGGGTTCAATTCTCAGTACTGTCAAAAAGAAGATATAAGTTGAATTTTGTCTAAATTTTATTTTACAAAGTTTTATATTATCAAATTGAGCAGAGGTCAGCAAACTTGCCTTTTTTGTGAATAGTTTTAATAGAACATTTCTATATTTTTGGTTGCTAATTTGGCACAATTATGGCAAAATTGAATAGTTGCAACAAATAGGATGTTGGTCCACAAAGCTTAAAATATTTACTATCTGCTTCAGTATTTGGATGAGGAGAGGATGTAAATAAACCTTAAAAATATTTCTCTGCCAAATTAAACCTGCCTCTTTTCCTTTTAAAAAGTATCCTTTTTTGTATAAATTCGCCGACCCTGACCTAGACCATAAAATTCTGTCATAAATTGGAGTTTGATGTATTTTAACACTAATGAGTTTGTTTATTTGGGTAGTATGACTTAACCTGTGGCTGGTACTTTTTTTTTTTTTGGTGCTGGGGATTGAACTCTGAGCTAAATCCCCAGCCCATCATTTGGTACGTTTTAATTGTATAAAACAAATGGAATAAACTTAAGATGTAGTCATCATCTAAACGAGGGGATTTTTAGCCCATACTGTGCTTCACAATCACTGAGGAGCTTCTTGATGACTGGGCCCTATTTGCTTAGATTTTGTTTGGTATTTGGTTAGGGGTTGGACTCAGGCTTTGATAAGCATCGCAGGTCATCTGCAGCCAGACCTGGGGATCAATCATTTTGTCTCATTTACTCATTTTATAAATGAGGCAAGTAGGGCCAAAGAGGTTGTGACTTGTCATAGGACATATAACCATTCAGTGGGAGAGCTGGTGGATCAAACCCCAGTTTTCTGAATTTTGTAGTTCCCTAGGTCATCCTGCAATGTCTAATCTAGACCAAGAGTTAGCAGATTTTTTTCCATGAAAATCTAGATAATAAATATTTTAGACTTTGTACACTGTGTGATCCTTTTCTTATTGATTTAAAAAATCAGAGGGCCGGGGATTTAGCTCAGTGGTTTCGACACCTGCTATGCAAGCGCAAGGACCCGAGTTCGATCCCCGGTACCAAAAAAATAAATTAAATAAATAAATAAATAAAAATAAGAAATGAGAATTTCTGATTCTTGGAATTATGGATATTCTTTACCAAAAATTACTCATTTTTTTTGCAGGGGCAGGAATGGAGGTGGGAGATTAATACAAATAGTAAAAAGCATTGCCACATTATAATCAAAAGATTAGGAGGTTGATAATGAAATGCTATCTTCAGCGCTTAGGGTTAGTCACTTTCTTGCATAGAAATTAAGGATCTGGTTGCTTCCTGATTCAGTTTAGATTTTATTTGCCAGGATAAAAAGGCAGCTTTTTAAATTTCCCCCTCAGTTTTAAATGAGGTAGAGATTTTCAGCATAAAGCTGAATTCTTATGTTTTGCTAAAAATTAACAATAAAGAAGTTCAAAACTTTTATGTAGAGGATAGGAGAAATTGTATGGTATTCAAGATTTTATCATGACTTTATTTTAGTTAAGTATTTAGATGCTACCTTGAATAAAATGCTTTTAATTTGATAGTCATATTAACAACTAAGCTTGCTATTAATAATTTTAGGATGTTCACTCAGTAAAATTTAGCCCTTTTGAAATTATCTTTGTATTTCTGATCCCAGTATTCCTATTAACTTGAATTTGATTGAGAGTTATGGAAATAAATTGGACCATTTTGACATTGTTGGTTTGCCAGTTTCCCTCTAACCTTTTGCAGTTTTGTTCATGGACTATATCATAAAGGTTTCTTTTCATGAGTAAATTTTGAACCCAAATTCAAGGTGAGTTCAGAATATACTCAAATTCATTCAATCCTTTTTTTAAATTCAGGGTTGTACACATTTTAATAATTTTCTTATGTATCTGGTATTTAATGCTGACAGGATTCCAGTCATTGGAGAGGTTTCATTGCAAGTAGCTGCAGGTGTGTTTCATGGTAGAGATAAAGTTTTCAGTGAAGCAGACTTTGTTTTAAAAAAATTACATCCCTGTAAATAATGAATGTAGATGTTGATTTTGTCGAGCAATACGGTATGCTTTTTGTATGTTATGCTGTACTGCTAAGTTAAAGTTTTAGTTGTACAAAAGCCATCAGATATCAAATATAAAAGAAATGAAAAATTTTAAGGATTGTGGAAATGGTACATAGTATTTATTCTTAAATGGCATAATAACGAAGTGAATAAAATGTAAAGCAGCTCAGTGTAATAAAGTGTGTTTATAGTATCATTTCATTCTCTGCAATATTTTTCTTTAGTACTGTTGTAAATAGGCCTCCCATCCAAACCATGTTAATGACTGTTTAGTTTTTATGTTTTTGGTCTTCCTAGGAAGTATGTTAATTCCTTTTATTATTCAAGTGTCTTTACACTAGAAATTATACTGAAACAGAAATTTGCTCTTGAGGGTTATAAAGTCTCCAAGCAGTTATAATAAATACATATATATTGAGTTCATTTTAATATTAGAGTGTTTAAAAAATTTTTCAAAAGAGCCTCTTTAATTAAACTGGTCTTGAAATAATATTTTATAAAGGAATCTACCACTCATTACATTTTTGTAATGTTTATTAAACTTTTAATCATTTTTGATCCATAACAGTAAGACTAATTCTCTGGAAACTTTTCATCAAAAGAGAAACAAGGTATATATGCTATTTGTTTTGCCTTTTCAGCTAGCTATAGTCAGCAGACTGGACCCCAACAAGCTCAGCAGTTCCAGGGATATGGCCAGCAACCAGCTTCCCAGGCACCAGCTCCTGCCTTCTCTGGTCAGCCTCAACAACTGTCTGGTCAACCACCACAACAATACCAGGCGAGCAGTTATCCTCAACAAACTTATACTACCCAAAGTTCTCAGCCTGCTACTTACACTGTGCCCCCTGCTTCTCAGGCTGGAATGGCTCCAAGCCAACCCGGGGCTTATCAACCAAGACCAGGTTTTACTCCACCTCCAGGAAGTACCATGGCCCCTCCTCCAAGTGGGCCTAACCCTTATGCACGCAATCGTCCTGCCTTTAGTCAGGGCTATACGCAGCCTGGACCTGGTTATCGATAAGGAGGTTCAGCTATCCTGATTAAAATAGCAGTTTGCCTCCCAAGACTCCAATACTATTTTATTTTAATTTGTATTGAAGTTCAGAAATTTAAAAAGCAGAGCATTTTTTATGGTATCATTGTTGCTGTTAATTGAAAGTATAATTTGCTGGAACACAAAAAAAGACAAAAATGAAAATTCTTTTCCTCCCATGCTTAAAAATGTAGCAGCTTTCTAGTTATTTTGAAACACTATTCTGACATGTGTGTAAAGTGATTGGCTTTCTAGCTTCTCCTGTCCAGAGGATATTAAAATGTTAGGTTGAGGTTTAGCCATCTTACTTGGCTTTTTACTGTTAACCTGATGTACTAAAGTAGAACCCTTTGAGAAGATGACTAGATACTATATATAAAATGTAACATTGATAGATTAATAAAAGTGATTGAACCCATTAATCGTCTTGTAATTTGATCATTAAGTGAGAAAGTCATATTTTACAGAAATCCTTATTAATGTTTCTTCTTAAAGTGAACTATAAATATTTACAGATTTCTATTCAGACAAACAGTGCCATTTGGTTTTTGTACTGATTTTTGAAAGAAAGGGATTTAACCATCATTGGTTTAAACAAAATAGATTCCAGGGATAAACAGATTTTTAAGCACAGTTGAGGATATAAGCACAATAGTTACACTGTTAAAAGATGTAAGGGGGTTTAGTAGATCCTAACTTTGTGATTTTCTTTCTTATGGAGGTAAAGGTATGTTTACATATAGATGAATTATTCAGAAATTTAAAAAAAAACTCAGTCTTAAAAAAGCTACATCTCTTTATTGAAGAATTTATACTTACTTGAAAAATACAAATTGTAGCATTGATAAAATTAAGCCCTGTTGAAAGATAAACATAGGAAAAGGTCTTTCTGTAATAAAGGTAACAAACAATGTACCATTTCCATCTCCCTCTCCAGCATGAATAAAAACAATACATTTTAATGAAAATGAGTCAGATTTTTATTACACCTTGAGTTAAAGAGAATTACAGAAACACCCTGATACATTCATTCGTAGAGATCTAATGTATAAATATGTAGCAAATAGCCATTTGTAAAATGGTAGGAATCTCATCTTGCATTATCTTTTTATGCTCAGACTTCACTATCATCTACATATAGTTTGATTAGAATCATAAAAACAACATGAAAATTGGTTAAAGGGCTAGCTTGACAACGTATTTTCAGATACTAGTATACTTTTAAAACTGAATATATCAGATTTTGAGCTCCATTTTTAGTTGAAATGAAATTACTGATTCAAATTTTTTTGAGTAATTGCTGATGTTTCATGGATATTTACATTAGTGTGAACATTTACACTCCTCAGAACATCTGTTCAGCTGTTGCTTAAAAAATTATTTAAATAAACATTAAAATCTGTTTTCCCCATGGGCCTGGGATTTAGCTCAGTGGTTCCGTTGCCTGCCTTGCAAGTGTAAGGTCCTGAGTTCGATCCCCGGTACCTCCCCCCCCCCAAAAAAGATCTGTTTTCCCCAGATACTTGTGCTGAAGATAATTTGAACTAATAAGTTAAACTAAGTAGAGATTTAAAGAATTAACTTGCCAGTAGGAAGCATACACATCAATAAAAGTAAATATTTTTAAAAGTATATTATGTTTTTGATGTTAATAAAAGTATCTCAAAACATCATTACAACAGTGTGATAAATAATATACAAATGATCTCTTAAAATACCATGAATAGGGAGCCAGCTTCCCTAAAAATGTTATTCTGTTAATGTCAGTATCTTGCTTTGTTAAAATGACTTTGTAAAAACTGATAAATATTCTCAGCAATCTTTTTCTTCTAAACACCTAATATTGCTATTAGATTGCAGGCTTTAATACATAGTAAACAAATTGCTTTAAATGGATGAGAAAAATACCATAGTGTGTTTTTGTTGGGTTTTTTTTTTTAAGGGTTTTTCTTTTTGTCCATATGAATCAGAAGTAGTTGGAGCATGATTGTAGCATCTACCATTTTCCAGGAATTGTAGTCCCACACTCATACCACTGGACATAATTGATCTGGGTGTGACCACCTATTTCTCCAAATTGGACAGGTTCTTGGCGAACTGCTCTGAAATAGCCTAAGAGAAAAAATAGTTCAGTTTTAATAGTTGGTATGTTACATTTTGCCCTATCTGTTCATAAATTGAAGGATATTGTTGAATGGCTGAAAAACTCTGGGTGAAGCAGTTAAGTAAACTAGCTGTCTTTCCTCAGGTATAATGGCTGCCTAAAATCAGAACCCCCAAAATTCTAAGTTAGAATGGGATTGTCAGTAGTAGTACCTGAGAACAGTTTCAAGTGCCCCATTAATAGATTCAGTGATCTTAAGTCTTCTTTTGGTATGGTTAGTATTTTTTTTAAGTACCAGTGGGGGGAAGGGGGACTGTGTTACTGCAAAGTCTAATCAAATAATTGAAAGTATTTAAAGAACCTCTTGGTTCTTCCTGAGTAATTTAGACAGTTAAATTACCCCCCTTCTTCACTGCTTAGACAAAGATTAAGTTAATTTTCAGTCTTTTTCAATCTTCATTACAGAGTTGGGTGCTAATGTGTATTTAGCAAATTACAGAAGTTATTCCTCACTGAAATTATTACATTTTATTTATACTTAGTTATTTATAAGACTTGTGTTCCATGTGTTATAATAAAATTTAAAAATTTTTAAGGAAGTAAAAGATAATGCAGGTGTGCACATATGAGGAAAAAACATTGTTAATACATGAATGATTTAAGCTTGAGAAACACTGATCTTTTATAGCTTTTTTTGCAAATACAGATTTGCTTAAAAGTAGAGTACTTTTATATATGTTACTGCCCTCGTCTCAAGTTTTTTCATTTTTTTTGAGCCAGATAATTAGAACAGTAGTTCTACAGAACTATTTTTAACTTGATTACTTTTCCTAACTTAATTTATTTCTGAGTTAACCTATAAAGCCCTCTTGCTTATGAGAAGTATCAGAAAACATACCTTCTTTGGTGGGTAATTGATCAGAAGAGAGATGGTGTCCTGTGCGACCATCTAAAAATGAATCCACAAATTGACAGTGATCCTCTCCATGGCCCCTCTGGTCGCCTATGTTATAAAATTTTCCTGAAGAAGCAGAAATTTGATATATGACTATTCTGAAATAAATTGTTTCAAAGAATAATCTTTCCCATTCTTGTACATTTTCTCTTATTCTCTACTAGCCACCAATGTCTCTTGACTGAACTACAAAATAGTCTTCCAACTGATGTCTCTGACTTCTTTCTCATCTTCCTATATTATTTCTTCCCTCCCCTTTTTACAGATTAGTGATTTGTAAAACAATGCAAGTAAGGTGACTCCCCCTCCCCGTTCCCAATAATTTTCTCTAGCAGTCTCCCATTACACTAAGAATAAAACTTCATTTCAGAGCTCTATGAATTCTCCAGAACTGGCCAAGGGTTTTCTGCCTCAGGCCTGTGCAGTTTGTCTTTACCTCTACATTTTTTCTTGCTAGACCTTTGGTTGGTTCTTCTCATAATTTTCTACTTAGCAGAAGTGATACCTTCACAGAGAGCCATTCCCTAAAACCATTCTAACTAAAGGAGTTTGTAATCTCTCTTAAGTCATTCTTTTACCCTTCTTAAAATTGTCTTCAAAGGACCTGTATGAAATTCTTATTTACATATTTGTCTCCCTAAGTAGAGGGGGAGAAAGGTATTCTACATGAAAGTGTATTGTTTGCTACTTTGTTGTCACCTACAACAGTGCCTGGCACAAAGTAGATAATACTGTATTTTTTAAATGAGTGTACCAATATCTAATCTTCCTAATGTTGAGGCCAGCCTTATATATTTGTAAAAATTTTTATGTATGGATATAGGAGAAAAATTATAGATTATTGGGTATCAAGCAAGGAGCTAGAGTCCTTCTAGCATCTTAAAAATGCTGTACTTCTTCCACAGTTACTGCTAGGAGTAATCATTTTATTATCAATAGACTTTTTTATCCTTGGGTGACTATAAAATAACTGAACTTGGGGGCCAGGGATTTAGCTCAGTGGCACCATGCCTACCTTGCAAGCACAAGGTCCTAAGTTCGATCCTCGGTACCAAAAAAACCTGAATTTGAAAGTGCTAGTGCCTGTACATAGTAAATGTGCCATGACAGCACTGTGTCAACTTGCATTTTCATTACTTTCTAATAGCAGGTCTAAGTCCTTAATCTTCTAGGATGAGATCATAACTATTTTAATAACATTTTGATTAGAGGAAAACTTCAGTAGAATGCTGATTCATCCATTAGTGCCTCAAACTTAACAGAAAAGGTCAAGGTAGAGAGTACAGCAAACATTCTCTGAAGGCAAAGGTTCAAAACAGCTAGCAGCCCTACTTACCTGAAAGGGAGTCGCTCAGATAAATCTTATATCTAAGAGAGTTGCACAGCTGCACGCCTACAAATTTTTTATACCATGTCCTTTTGACATACTGTTTGCCTTTGCATTCTGAGTAAGAGTCTGAGTTAAAGGGTCTTTCAGTCCAGATGGCATCTCTTCCTCCTGCATTAGGAGAAGGCATGGTTTGAGTTTACTGTCTTGACTCTCAGGTACTGAGGAGCTGTCTTCAGAGTTTTACAAAACCAGTCTGCAAAGTTCATTGCCAACTTGCAGATACTTACATTTTTTCCATTGCTAAGTATGGGCACCAAAAATAGTGTGAAAGTTTAAACAAACTCAAGTTCCTGTCAACAGTGAGATAAATCTCAAAGCAATATGTTTAGGTGCTAGATGTAGACTGTCCTTTAGGAACAAATTTAGGTTTTTGGGTTTTTTTGCAGCATATTATAAGATTTGAACAAATGCTTCAATATGGCACTATTAAATGAGGGTGTAATATCTTGACTTAGTTATTAAAATTTAGACTGGCATGGTACATGAGTGAAAGTAAGTTTCAAAGTATCTGACTTGCCCCTGGAATATCATAGCTTCTCAATATTCATCAAGTTATTCACACCTGATTGATGATAAAAAGAAATCATAACCCCAATTCTACTGTCTCTTTAGTTCAGTCCATTTAGAAAAGCATGTACTTAAAAAAATAGAAAAGCAACTGAGACAGGTACTTACCAGAAACTGGCTCGCTCACTCTTGGGTCAGCTAAGGAGTAACACCAAACACAGAAATCAGCCATTAGTAAAGTAAAATTCTTAAGTAAAGTCCTAAGATTCCAGAGACATGATGATGATTTAAGTCTTACTTGCAAAGTGGTACACTCTTGCTAAAGACTGTTGAAAGTTTTCTTTGAAAAGGTTCTTGATTGGATAATTTGTCAGGTATTCAAAAGTATCTTTGTTATATGAGAAGAAGTGAGGAGCCTTTGTTACTATTCTAGCCTTCAATTTCAAGTTTCCTCTTTTATACAAAAAAATATTCATGGTAAAGTCACCAAGATGCCATGAAGTGTAGTTGGCATAAAATTATGTAAATAATAATGCTGTACTTAACAGATGTATCTTTTTTTTCACCCTTTGGTAGGGGGGATTGAACAGGACCTCAAGTTTGTGAGGCAGGCATGGTGCCACTGAGCTAAAAACCCAGCCCTTGACAGATGTATTTTTTAAAGAGTTGGAGCTTGGAATGTGTACTTGGAAAATTTCACAAATGCCCTTTCTTGGTGTACTCACTGATATTTTGATCCTAGGCATACTGAAGAGCCTTCATTCACTAGATTTCTTAGTATAATTTATGTTTTTTTAAACTAATGTATTTTTTTTTTCTGATATCAAAAGAAATGAGGAAAAGCTTAAGTGGTGTTGTCATGAGGCTACCTTCATCAGTTAGCTTTTTCCCATAAATAGTTTTTTAGGAATTCCTGAAACTGAGTATACAGAGTTTAGCTTGGTTTCAAACAAATTCCATATGCAAAACATTTCTTCCATTGGATCCCTTTACATTTTTGTTGGGGATTAACACCAGTGTGATTACCTGATTCAGTACTGAATGCCACTGTGTTGCTGGCTGGGCCTTCACCAAGGGGGTTTTTGGGTTTCACCTGGAATTCATAACTATATAGGGAGAAATAAAAATAATTGCATATTATTGAAGGGTAAGAAAGCAACATTCCCTTGATATACTGACATCTCTTCTAGTTCTGTTTGAAATTATGATTACAACATATGTTCTAAAATGCTAGTGCTTTCTTAATTTTACTTTCTAAATACATTATCTTTAGGCCTGGGGATTTAGCTTAGTGGTTCCACTGCCTGCCTGACAAGCTCAAGGTCCCGAGTTCAATCCCCAGTACCAAAAAAAAAAAAAAAAAAAAAAAGTAGTTCCATACATTATCTTATCTGATACTTTATACAAGAAAAACATTTTTAAGAGAAACATTTTAATTTTGGTGCTTTTCAAAGCACCAAACTAGAAAGAACTGGTCAAATTGGTAATAAGACATAAGAAATACGTGGTTGACCCAACCTAATTCCATCAGTGAGGAACCTTCACTTTCTTTCAAATACCTACTCTATTTCGTGACATGAAGACGTAGAAGTACCTTAAACTTAGCTAGTGAACTTAGGTATTCTTAGGTAGTATTTCTCATTTGAACTACCTATGTCAGAACCAGGATAGGGTGGCAGTAGAGAAAGTTTGTTTAAAATGCAGATTTCTTGCCCTACCCCTGCTTCTTGAAAAGGTTTCTTTACAAGCCTTTGTATCTCGTGGAACTCAGGTCTTCTATGGATCATAGGAATCCACAATGTTGAGAAAAAGAGCTTGGTAGTGTTACTTTACACAGAGCCCACGCACAACCACAGACTTCCTTGATAAACCAGATTCACACTGAACATGTACTTAGCCCTTTATTAAAAAACAAAACACAGATCCCTTGGAATTATAAGTACTTTTGATTCTATCCTTAAAAGTTATTCATTGACTTGTGCAGAACTTGACAGATTTTATTCATAAGATATGTAAACCGAAAATTCTAAGAAACTCAAACAGTAAAGCACTTTGCCATTTGCCTAAAACTGAGTTCCTGTGAGCAGAAAACTTAGCAGCAAAATAACTGGATTTTAAAACCATCTTGAGTCACTTGATAATACTGTGTGAGTCCCAGATTTGAACAAAGTTTTTATAACATAATTTACATCTTTGCATTAAATAAGAATGCAGAACACAAAAGATAGTTTATAAGCAAGTGGAAAACAAGGTTGACAATTCTCAGTTTGGTACAGATGGTACCAATTGAATAATAAAAGAATTTTCTCATATACCGGGGAGTCACTTTCTTGATCACTATGGCATTGCATTATAACACTGTTAGAATGTAGTATAAGAAGATAGATACTAGTGTTACAACAATGGCAAGTGCTTTTGAAGCACTTACTATGTGTCAGAGGCATATACAGTATATACAGTCTGCATGTACAGTGTAAAGTAATCTAACACAAACTCGTGATAAATACTATTTGATTTTCAGATGAGATAAATGAAACTCATAACCATTGTACTATTACTATCATTGCTTTTCCAAAATTTAAAACTTAGTGAAACAGGAATTAAAATTTACCTTTCCTTATAAGGTTTTTAATGAATGAATGCAAATGAAAACATTTTGTAAACTGAACAATTGGTATAAGGTACCACTATCATTTATCCAGAGAATACTGTTATGAAATACCTATGCCATTCATTTAATCAAAACACACACACACACACACACACACACATGTACAGTGTTTACACATGGAATATTTTCCAGATTCAGCTCTTCCTAAGAGTACTAAGGGCCTCAGAACAAAATAAAATCATACACAAAAAATAAAAAAAAATCTCACAAAACTGGTGAACTGAAAATGGGAGAAAAACAATTATAGGCATCTGGTAATGGAGTCAAGTGGGAACACATTCCACATTCATCCCAGACCACTGCCAACAGCCCTATGCCTTGGCCAAATCTGACTGCTGGAATCATCTGCATGTCTTTTTATTTCACAGTTATTTACAGGTAAGCTCTATTCATAGCATGGCCACAAATATTTATAAGCTACTTTTTTTGACAACATTTTATGATACTTGACAAGTTCTGAAATAATTTAAAAGTAAGTTTAATTAATATGAGGACATTCTTACCTAACTAAACCCTAGATTAATAAAAAATATTTCTGTGGCAGAATCTATCCCAAAATGTACACTTTCTCAAAATGAATGATACCATAAGTCTCTAATGTCTCAAGAGGAAGTATTGGTTGTACACAGAAAGTAAGCACAGGATGATATGTAAAGTTTTAGCAAAGTTTTTTGAAATAAAAAATATAAGGAAAATTAGAAATTATAAATTTGAAAACATTCTGCAAATAACAGAGATACAAAATGGAAGCATGTAAAGATTATTCCAGAGAATACAGCATTCACCTAGTGGAAGTTCTATAAGAGAAAATAGGAAAGTATAGTAGAAAATTGTTCCAGAAATCATACAACATAAGAAATTTTCCAGAACTGAAAGATGTGTTTCCCAGCTGAAAAGGACTGCTTTGTACCAAAAAAAGGACAAAGGTATTACAGAAGTTGCAAAATTTCAGAATAGTAGGAGATAAAATCAAGGTTCTAAATACAGAACAAAACATCGGGTCCCATTCACCCATCCAGAATCAGAATGATGTTTATTTGACTTTTTAACAGCAACAATGGAAATTAGGGAGGAAAACTTAAAAAGAAATACTGCCTTCAAAAGTCTTGGTTTTATCATGATTTAATCCTAAAAATCTATATTCAGCTGAACAGTACTATCAAAGTAAAGCATGGGCTTTTAAAACATGTAGAGACTAAAAAATACTGTCTCTCATAACTCTCAAAGTATGTTTCCCCAGAAGCCACAAAGTAAGGAAACAAACAAGGAAGACATAGATATAGGAATTAGGGCATTTGACATAGGCAAAAGATGGTAAGGGATTCCAGAAGCGGTGTTGTTGTGCACAAACAAAAAGATGACTTGAATATTTAACTATTTTGAGAAATGTTCAGTCTAGAACTACAGATTTAATTAACTGAAGAAATTAAGCTAAAGTAATAAAAAATGTTTGCCTCAGGAAACAAAACTCTGGTAGAAGGGAACTCCTTTTGTAGTGTTTGAGTTTTAACTTTATTTTATTTTGGTACTGGGGATCGAACTCAGGACCTTGTGCTTGGGAGCAGGCGCAGTACCACTAAGCTAAATTCCCAGCCCTTAACTGTTTATTTTATACTGGCAGCATGATAAAGTGGTTAAGTCTGGTTTCTGTCACCACTACAAAATACCCAAGGCAGGCTTCTTTAAAGAAAAGAAGCTCATGGTTTTGGAGGTACAAGGTCTAGGGGTCACCTGGTGATGACATTCTTGCTAACAGTTGAGTCCTGAGGTAGAACACAGTATCACATGACAAGAGACAGTGTGCCTGTTGGTGTTTCTCTTCCTCCATGTAAAGATTCAATCATGGAGGCCCCACCCTAAAGGTCTTATCTAATCCTAACCACTTTCCAAAGGTCCCACCTCTATAACACCAGTGAAATTAATTTTCCATCCTCTTAATACTTCACTCATAACAATTAAACTCCAGGATGTGTTCAGGGGTATAAGCAGGAACAAAACATTTATTTCTGGAAAGAAATGAACATTAAAAAGCCACTTATAAGACCCACTATATAGAAATGAATATCTAAATGGAGTACAATCCAGATGAAAATGGCCCCATCAAGGACAAGTCAGGTATAACCTAAAACCCCTCTCAGAATACCATACACGAATACCTACCTGAATAGGTGTGACTCTCAACAGAAACAGTCTTCCCATACATGCCTGCCTTGATCCAGTGGTCAAGCGCATGGGCTCCGTAGGCGGAAAGATGGGCTCACAGCTTACTGATACGTGATTTTAAAATGTGTTCATGGACTTTTCTGAGTCCTGGTTTCTCATACATAAAAATGAGGCTAATAACACTATTTGTGAGCATACTATTGTTGTGATAACCTCACAAGGATAGAGGTTTGGATGAAGATTAAATGAAGTAGTATAAATAAAAGCAAGATGCCTGATATATAGTGATTATAAACACTTGCTAGTATTGTACTATATAGGACTTTTTTAAAAAAGCTCTTACTGAATTTGAGAAACACTGCCATAAACTCTCAAAAGTAGAATTCTTTACGTTCAACCTACTTGTGTTTTACTTAGTTATCATAAGGCCACAGCCATTGAATTATTAGGAAGATTGAAATTTTACTGGATAAATCTTTCTGCCTTTACCTCCTTAGACTAAGAAAATAAAGTTAGAATTCAATGAAAAGTCGAGATAAAGTTCTAAAGCATTATCCTGAAAGGGAAAGGAATAAAGGGGAGAGGTTGAGACCAAGTTTGAAAGCAACTATAAAAAGCATAATAATAATACATCAATTAATTTAAAAGTGAAAGCCTAAGGTTTCAGAAAGTTCAACCCTTGGTTCATGAGCTAAACTGTCAGAGACAGGTGATGTCTATTGTGCAGGATCTAGCCTCAAACTAATGTCTTCAAAGTGGGGTGGGTGTGGGGGCTCACTGGTAAGCCTTAGGTCTAGTTGGGAAGGACACTTCTTTCTGTCATTCCTTCCTCCACTTTGTTCTCTTTAGGACCTTTTCACTCTCTTCTTTCCCAAAATATAGTTTTCATTGTTGGATGAACTTGTTTTGTTTCGTAGTCCCTACTGATTTTTCAAAAATTGGCTTAACAAAGGCCTTATCAGCCTCAAGCAGCTTGCTTTTTATATGTAGAAATGCGACCCCGTAGTTGCTCATTGGTTTGACTTATTTAACTTGGTGATTTTACCTTTATGTAGTCTTGAAATATTTGAGCCCAGTGAGGTGAGGTTTCCATCAAATGAAAAGAAATGGGAAAGTGGAATAGGAAAAAATAAAAGAGTAAGGGCTGCTCAAAAAGTCCAGGGAAATGCACTCAACCAATTTGTGAAAGTGCATTTTCAAGGACATTGGAGGACAATAGTAAGCATTTCTGGATACCTAGGACATGCAAAGTCATTTTATAGATTTCAAAATACAGTTAAGGAGCAAGAGGGCAAAACTGAACAAAAAGGAGCACCAAATAAGCCAAAATTGGGCTCACAGAAGTAGGGGAGTGGCAAACATCTATAATCCCAGTTATTTGAGATGAGAGGCTGGTATAAGCAACATAGCAAGACCCTCATTTCATAAAATCAGAGTCAGAAGGAAGAACAGGGACTTAGCAGTCATAGGAAGTCATAAAGTATCTGCTATCTACACCCCAAGGGATATTTCTTTGGTCCCCCATTTCTGTGAGGGACTAGAAATTCCAGAGTTGAGCTGCACTTCACTTCTGTAGTGCTGCCATGACTTTCTCCCACTCTCCATAGAGACTAAGGAAGTCTAAGGAAATGTAATAAAAAGTATACAGTGATATGAGAGGAAGAACTAATGTTTTTATAGACTAGCAGAGTTCTGTGCTCCTACTGAACTGCTCTTTTGCCTAATGAAAAGTTGCTAAAATGAGCTATATAACTCAATTTCTTCTTTAACAAGGAAGGAATTACTCTTCTGCTCCTCACACCTACAATAAAACTAAATAAATGCCTGATACTTTGGCAGTTTACTTTACTTCTTTCTACAAAGCCCACAAGATGAGAAGAGACATTGAAAAGTTAATACAGAATTTCCAGAGACCAGAATTTCACAAAAACACTATGAAAAGGTTATGAGTATTCCACATGCCTGTTTCCTTAAGCCAGATTTACAGTTTATAAAAAGTTGCTGCCTCTATTCCAGCTAATCTTCAGTGCCAACATTTTATTGAATCAAACAACATAAAGAGTCCCAAACAATTATTGCTGCCACTGTGGTAGGTTTTAGTCTTACTGGAAGAATTGTTCTCCAAAATCCTCCCAAGCCAACAGAGGTCAGTAAAAGTACTTGGGAAAATTAAGTGAATTTGATTTATCTTAATTACCAGACAGAATACATTTTCCATAGGAAATTGTTGGATCATATAAAGGCTGGCACACACAATGGATTCTTCAGTTTTTCAGTAAAGCGAGGAGAGAAGTAGGCTTATTGGAACCAAAGTGTGGGTTTAAAAGGCCTTTTTACTGTCAGTGATTGTTGTGTCCAACTATACTATCAACCAGCTCAACAGAAAGAACACAGCCCATCAGTGCATTATCAAAATATAAAACCAATTTATCTGAAAACATTGCAAACTACAGACAGTCAAAAGAAAGTTTACTTGGAAAATTTTGTTATGGGACTGGCATAGGTTTTAGTTTTATTTTCAGTTCCAGTTCTGTCACTGACTTGGTCCATGGCTTTAGTTATCATTGATTATGAGCTAGAAGAGACTTAAGAGACCAGCACACTGCCTGTCCTTCTATGCACTGGTGTAAGATTTATGGTTTGTTATATCTTATCAGTTCCTCTATTCATAGAATTAAAAATAACCAGCGATCTTCCAGACAAAGTAGGTTGCACCAGACTGGAAAAGCCCTTCATAAGATTTTTCTTTTAGTTTAACAAGAGCCTAAAGACTGAAAGGATTGGTGATCCTGGGTGATTGTGGGACAGGAGTGGAAGAAAATAAATGGAAAGTAATTACTGGAAGTAGGCTAGGTAGGCACTGATTGATTTTGATACCAACACTTCCACATTTCTTTAAGGGTGAAAGATGGATGTTCTAAAAATGGAGTTTGCCTGTGTTAACAGATTTCTTTTGCCTCACTTGACTGAAAGTTATGGCTCCTCTCCCCTGTTCGCTCATACAACCACAGCCCACTGCAGCTGCAGGCAGCCACTGGCCTGGCTATTGGCATTATGCTGCCTTTGTAGGTTTATCCATGTCCCCAGTCATGGTTCTACTCTCTAAGCATAAGGATACCTAATGCCTGGTGTGGAGCCACTCTCATTTTGGCAAAAGAGCTGCTGAATGGTCCCTTGCTGTGGGCTATTTTTTGAGCTCCTGCAAAGTAGATAAAAACCTGGCTAAGTCTAAAAACATGCAAGAGAAGGTTGGCTTTCACTGTGACAAGGAAAAAGGAGCACAATCTACTGTCATTTTGTTTTTGGAATAATGTGTGGTCATTTAGGATTTCTGACCACAACCAGTCTATATTCTTCTGAGTTAAACTCCAAGCTCTACTCCACCTATGTCAGTGTGTAAACATCAGCTAGTTCACTTTTTTCCCCATCAGTTCAGTTGGTGGAAAAAATGTTACCATGACAAATGATTTACATCTATCTCCTATTAGTGGAACATAGCTATAGTAATTCTTTCAGAAGCATATTATCTTCCAATTTTTCAAGTAGGAAAGTCCAAAAGCTCAGCAGCTATAATTCAAAATTTGCATCTGTGCACTGAGACTTGCTATTGTCTGTGACACTCCTTTCGCCTACCACAATCACTCAGCTAGCTTTTTTCTACTCATCTATCAGTCTCAGCCTAGATGTCACCTTTTCCAGGACAGTTTTCCTAACTTCCCCAGACTCTGTGGAGTACCATTCACTCTGGACTCCCCTGTGACTTTTGGCATATTTCCACCAGTCTTCCAGCACTCCAGGTAGAATAGTGTACTTGGTTATTAATTAGCTGCTTCTCTGCTACTTGAGCTCCAGGGCAGGCATCATGGGTACTCAAGTTTGTAGCTACAACACGAGCACACTGCTGAGCATACCCTCGACACTTAATACATATTAGCTGACTGGAAATGCAAACCTTTCACAAACAAATTGACCTTAAGATTTCACCAGAAAGACTGTGTTCTACATTTTTATCATGAGCTAATGGTTGTACTGCGAAAAGTTCTGAGAACAGCCTGATTCAGAAAAGGAACACAATGCACATTTAGAAATTGGACACTTTTCATTAGCAATTGTATTACACAAGCCACTTTTTATTAAGTGGAATAAAAAGCAGGAAACTAAAAAGAAAAACTATCCAAGTTTGTCAGCACACATGAACCTATTATTAAATTTTTTCTTTTTTCCTAAAATGGTATTATAGTAAAATTGGGCTCTTTCTCTCAGTTTTGGTAAGGAAACAACCAGGACTATCAAGTGGATTTTTACTAAAATGCTTATTTTGGCCAACTTAAATCTTTTTAAGAAAATTAGCAATTAACAAAATTTTCCATGTTACAGTTCAAACTAAAAAATGCTAAGAAACCACATTTGTGGTAGAAGTTATTTCTGCAACATCAGACTAAAGTTTATACACAGTAAACCATCTATAAGAAATTAGATGCTTCTTTTTCCTCGAAGGATTAGAAGAACCCCTCTACTACTGGAATTAAAATAGACTCCTCTGAGGGTCACTAATTTGATTCAGTCAACTGATAACAATGAGAGGTCTGAGAAGTGAAACTTGATGAAAAAAAGCCCTTCTTTTTCTCCAAGGCCCTTCTTTTTCTCTCAATAATAAAATAAACTGATAAAATATTGTGTGTTGTAGATTTAAAAAGGAATCACAGAACTATACAGTATTATGAATAATCTGGTATCAATGTGTAATAGCTACCTAGAAAAGTTGTTTATTATAAAACAATGTTAAAAATATCAACTCAGCTAGGTGTGGTGGCACATGCCTGTAGTCACAGCACTCTGGGAGGCTGAGGCAGGAAGACTGAAAGTTCAAGCTCAGCCTGGGTAACTTAGTAACTGAGCAAGACCTTGACTGAAACTAAAAATTTAAAAAAAGGGATGGGAATGTAGCTCAGTACAAAGACTCTGGGTTCCATCCCAAGTACCACCACCTCAAAAAATGTATGCAACTCCATTGTCAAAACTCTATTCTCAATTTTTCAATGATAAAAGGATTTTCTTTCAAAGCAAAGAAGTGCTGTATCTGGAACTAGGATGTAGTTATTTAAAGTATTACTTACTACTAAAAACTACCTAAATTTTGTCACATGGCTTCCATTTCTTTTTCCTCTTCTAGCATGAAAGCCAAATTCTTCAGTGCTTCAAATCTAGTTTACATCAATCACATTCCATTTATTTCTGCTCCAGAGTTTCTAATTTGTGGTATTCAATATCAACATTTGATATCATTGGCCTTTTTTTTAATGTTGATAATTTACAAGGCCATTTTCTTTTGGTCTGTTTATCCCCACCAATAATTTGCATATTGTCAAAACATGTCTCAAGAGGTATTTAGAAAGCTGGAGTGAAACACAAACTCTTTTAAAACAGCAAAGAAGAAATAATTTCATTTCTTTTTTACACCCTCAGAATAGCACTGAGGCTTACCTTGTATCTGGTTTCAGATTTTCTACTGTGGAGAAAGTTTGATTTGTAATTTGAATGGATTTATTCTTCCCACTGAATGAGCCGTTTTCTCGGGATATAACTTCATATTCTGAAAAATGAAAACAAAAATAATAATTGTCTTCATGCCCTAGTTGATTTAATGGCTTTTGAAGCTAATAGTATAATATAACCATTTATATAAAAGTGAGCAATTGAAATTACAGTTCTAGAGACACATTGATCCCATATATTATCAATATCCAGAAGTGATGGTCATCCCAGTTGATAAAGGTCCCTAAAACACTTTGAGAGTTGCTTACTGGCCATTTCTGCTTTCTCTTTATCAGAGCAGAGGAAGGCCTGGTAAAGACTAATGACCCTCCTGAGTTGATTTAGATATATAGTCTGTGATAATGTTAGGTAAGAAAGATAGTCTGCTACCATCAGGAAGCCCAGTTTGGGGAAAGCACTATATGAGTGGTGATACTTATGTAGAAGCCATGTTTCCTAATCTATGGGGCTTTATGATGCAGACTGAGGAAAAGGTCATGGAATATGTGATACTGCTGTAAAAATACAAGCTGTTTTTACTACATCAATAAATAACAGTTAACCAAATAATAAGCTATTTTTCTGTAGTTCATTATTTGGAGCTATAGAATTAGGAGGATTTTGTACCTATTGCTTATATGAGTCATGCTACCTTTATAATTTTCTTCGTTGTAAAGGAAAATCATCCATCTGTGCATAGAAGTGTGCATAAGTTTCATAAAGGCATGTTTCTATGAAGTTCTGGGGCTTATAAAAAAAAACTCAGAATAAGAGAATATAATTTACAGACTTGTCAATTAGTTTTCCCTGCTCTCCACTGAGATTTAAACTTAATGCATGTGACAAGATGATAGAACTAAAAATAAAAAAAAATAAAACCACCACACTACTCAAAATCACTTCCATTGATGCAAAGAAATAAACAAGAGTTTGGCATTACATAAGGTGGAAAGATTGGAAAAAAAAGCCAGCAAGTTCTATTAGGGACTTCTGCTATTGTATTGAGATGAATATTGGAAATAAAATGGAAACTATAACAGCTAAGGTAAAGCTAAAATTTCCAATTTTAATTTAGGAAGGATTTTTGTAGTTTATTTAAAAACTCCTCAGAACAATTTATTATGACCATTTTTCTGAAAATCAAAATAAAACAGGAAGACAGTGAACACTGTATCTAGACATGTCACTTCAAGTATTAAAGTACTAAAGACCGATAATTAACTAACATTCAGATTTGTTTGTTTCCAACCTCTTTTCTCTCCCTTTGGCTCTTTATTCTAGAAGAGCATGGAAAGGGTGGGAGGGAAGATTAGTTCAAAATTGCAAATTTTATATCTTTTCCTCAGTTATTAAGGGATATTTGCTAGAAAAAAAGATGTAAGCAAATTGCGTTCTTAAAAAAATGGAAACCACATGACTTAATGGAAAGAGACAAACCAAGCCACTTACCTTGAATTTAGTTTCAGTCTCCCCTTCTGTAATATGCCAATAATATCTCTTCATAGTATTGTTTGTGGGGATTAAATCAGAAACATATGGAAGGCACCTAATATTGTGCATGATTTTGCTAAACAGGTGGTACTTAGTACTGTTGTTGCTTTTATTCTCTCTATCTCCAAGTTGTATTTTAAAAATAGATTCACAAAAAATTTTAAAGTTTCCAATTGGAAAGATGCAAGTGCTGCTCAGTCACCAAAAGAATAATTTATATAAAATTCTAGTTATTTATATATCAAATGAACCACCTTCAAAATATATTTTGGCTTAGGGTATTCCCTCATCAACTGTTTGATATTCTTTCTCAGTATTAACCCAGAGATTTAGTATTTGAAACTTCCGGCAAACATCTCTAATTTTCATTTGACTCAAATTTTAAATGTTAATAATATTTTTCCTCTGGAAGATCTGAGTTTTCAAAATGAATCTAGGAGTTTTCTTTAAAATTAAAAATATTTAGAATTCCTCTCAAAATTCTAGCTTTTAAATATATGTATGCTTGTCTTGTGCTTTATAAATTTATCTTTCATTTTTAATTCTTTTGTTTATTTTGTTTTTTCGTTTTTTGAGACAGTCTCACTATGTAGTTCAGACTGGCCATGAACTCACTATGTAGCACAGGCTGCCTAAACTTGTGTTGATCCTCCTGTCTCAGCCTCCCAAGGGCTGAGATTGCAAGTGTGGGCCCCCACGCCTGACCCATTTTTAATTCTTTAAAGTGATATCTTTCCATAAATCTTCAAACACAAAGATGGGTTCTACTATTGGTCTACTGAGAAACATTAATTTAACAGTTATTTGTATATTCAAATTCAATGTTTTTTCCTTAGGATACATTGATAATGATGGGAATCATTACTATTATAACAGATAAGGAAACACATTCACAGAGATCATTTATGTGTCCAAGTTGGACATCTAAAATATAGCCAGTGTTTGATTTAAATCCACATTAGCATACTCTTGGAATATGACACAACAATTTATAACTTGCTCTTGGAATATGGCAACAACTTATAACTAACCTAACTCTAAGTTGTTCAGTGACCCTAACTATGATCAACTTTTTACTGTACCTTTTTTCTATTTGCATATGGAAAGGACATGCAAAAGCAACTGAGTTGGAATATATTCATTGGAGGGGAATATGTGCCTGTCAACTTAAAAAAAAGATTACTGGCAGAAGTCAATTCCAGATATGACGGCTACTGTTCATTCTCTTTATTTTTCTTAATCCCTTATTGCAACACCGGTTCCAGTGTCATAAAAATTAATTTCTATACTATCTAAACTGCTGGTTTATAGACAGCCATATTTGAAATAAAGTGGTATTTAATATAACACTAAAACAAAAATGGAAAAACTGGAGCAGATCATTAAGGCAAATGGTCCAATGCTGAATTGTGGATTAGGGAAACAACAGTTAAAGATGAACTTATTTCTATTTAGGAAATATTTGGCCTAAAGAGATGTGATCCTTGTCCATAAAAATTATTGTAAGTCTTACATCCTGTGAAGGATCCCAAACAACCCATTAGCATGTAGTGACCACATTATAAAAGCAGTTAGCTACATGTATAAAGTATTAGTTGTATAAAATATACTCTATTCATGATCCTTCAAGATTACATACTTATATAAATTTTAAAATTTATTGCAGATGAATTTAGAAAAGAAAATCCTGTATATTGAAAAAGACAAATGAGATATTATCTGTGTAAATATATAGTAGATAAAATGCATTAGATTAACCAATCCCAGCTTAATATCCAGCATCTTTTGGGAAAAAGAAATTTTGTAGGTTTTTTGGCTTAATGAAACCAAGCTTCAGACTAGCATAGGAACTCCTTATTACCAAAGTATAAGGATCACGAGTTCTGGATGTTTTTAATACATCACAGATAACCAACACTGATTGATTTTTTGGTTTGGGATGGTTAACAGGCATAGTCCCAAATAAAGAAGCAGGACTAGGCAGATCTCTGGTAACACAGGAACCAAGTGGATTCTTTCTCAGAACAGAGGCTATTTTGCATAAGAAAGGGAAGTTCACAAAATAAGGTAAAGAAAGCCAGCTAAGGCAAAGATCTACTGCTTACATAAAAGTTGCCTGCATCATGTGGTTTCTGCTATAGAGCAATAGCTGCTGTTTCCCCCTTTATTCACAGTAGAAAATATTTCCGGCAGATCCTGAATTTTTCCACTTCACCTTGTATACTGCTCCTCTCTTACTCCTAGCAGTGTTTTCCTTAACTCTTCTATTCCCTGCACCAGGTACATGGCAAGGACTGTAGCAGGAACCTCATGAGCTCAGGCTATCTGAGGACTAGCCTGATTTAGGTTGATAGTCTTTTATTTCTGCTTCTCTTGTTTCACTATCCTGTTCATTATGAAGGACTAAACTGGCACATAACAAATTCAAAGAATAACTCATGGTTTCTTATTTGTCACAATCCTTTCTAGAAAATTGGATGGATATCAAAATAGGAATCAAAATTTTCTGAGATGAGCAGAAAATTGCCCAGAAGTGGATTTAAAAATTTTTTTTCTGACAACAGGTGAAATAACTTTTAGCATGCCTGAAACTTCTGGGTCAATTTAGAAGTTGGGTTGGTTAAAGGAAAACTGATATAAATATCACCAGCAATAGCAACTCCCTATATATTTTCTTTAATCTTCTTGATAATGAGAGACTAGCTCTATCTTCAAACTCTGCAAAGGAGTTCTAAGAGAAGATGGAAGGAATAGTTTAAAGTGATCTGCTAAATTAAAAGGGAGCTCCATAACAAGCACAAAAATAAACTTTTCCCAACCTATGACACTTAGGACAATGAGCCATAAAACAGCAGAACACTTCTAGGGCTCCCTTCTCCTCAGAGAGGCCTCACATGGTATGTACCTCACTCTCAAAGCATCATTGTGTTATGTAAGCTTCCCACCACAGCAACAAGTCCCTTGTGGCATAATGAGATATCTTATAGGCAGTTAGACAGGGCCACCCTCAAGGCACCAGTCCTCAAAGAGCCAGTCCTCAAGGAGCCAACTCAGCGAGGAGCCAACATGGAGAACAATTGAGGCACATTCACTGGTTAGCATTATAAAAAAGAAAAGAGGTGCTACTTCCCCTAGAGATAGACAGCAGCGATCTATATTCTAAATGGGAAATTCTTTGTATGTTATTCATTTTTTCCCATTTGATCCCCATTTAATCAACATTACCTGGGTGACTGTACTTGTAATTTTATTGGTTGATCATGGATTTGTCCCACCTCATGCCCAACTTGTAATTTTCCATTGGGTCTTATAGTTTTGTTCTACTTTGTAGCCACCTCACCTCATGGGTTTGCCGTATAAAACACCATTGAAAAGTGGAGGTGGGAAGGCAACCCATTTTCTGGTCGCCCTTCTGCCTCTCTTAGATAGAAGCTATCTTTTTCTCAATAAATTTTCCTACTCTTAACCTCTGTTATTCCTAGATTTCATTCTTCGATTTTAGAGAACACAAACTTGTGTTTCAGATATCTGGCAGGTTTGGGAATTACATCTAATCCCCCTGTATCACCATAATCTTACCAGTGACAGAGTCATTTAATGGCTTTTCCCAGTCCAAGATGACAAATGAGGGGCACCCTTCCACAGTGACCACAGTGAGGTTGGTGGGTGGGTTCTGTGGTGGGCTGGTGGCATTCCCCTCCATGACTTCCTCTGTGGGGAAGCGTTTGATGGAGTCGGTGATGGAGCAGGGCCTATTGTCAGGCTTTGGGATGTATCGCACATGAGGACCTAAGAGAAAGAAGTTCATCATTTTTGAAACTTGTAAAGATAGAAATTAACTCATAAATATAATTATCTCTCTAAGGACATCCAGTTTCATAGGCAGATGGTTGAAAGCAGTGCTATGGATGGTTCAAACTCGTAAAAAATCCAAAATCTTGTATCTGGAATATATGATACAGATGTTGTTGAATTATTTACTAAATAGTTTTATGTTAATATTAAAAAACAATTTGGTCCCTATGGGCTTGGCTTACTCATATAATTTCTGGGGCATTGAGTCTTACCTCAGTGATAGGGAAGAATGAGCCCTACATTCAATACAATTCTGGTCTCACCTAACAAATCTTAAAAGCTAGACTCAAAAGGATCAAGTAGTTCCAAGTAATTTAAGTGTACCTATGAACAAAATTCAAGAATATTTTAGGAATAAAAAATACATATATATCCAGCCTCACCAAGGTGAAATTCACAAAAATATGTTATTCATAATAAAGAGAAAAACCAGTCATATGAAACCAACTTAGAACTTCTATAGATGTTAGACTCACCAGAAAACAACAATGAACAATTATCCTTATAATCTTCATGTTCAAAAAGTTAAGACACAGAAGATATAAAAACATCCAAAATCAAATTTATAGAAATGAAAACTGTAATATATAGGAAACAAAATACATTGGAAATAATTAATGCACGTAAGATTTTTCAAAATATGGGGCGGGATTTAGCTCCGTGCTGTTGCCTGCCTTGCAAGCTCAAGGTCCTGAGTTTGATCCCTGGTACTGAAAAAAAAAATTACAAAATAAAAAATAGTAAACTTGAAGACATTACCAATAAAACTACCCAAAGTAAAAAATGGGCAGAAAAAAGAAATTCAAAATAAAGAACACTGAGCTTCAAATGGTCTTATATACATGTAACTGAAATATCTGAGTTAGACAAGGGGGTAAGTAGGCAGAAAAAATATAATAGCCCCAAATTTTCCAAATATAATAAAACTTCTAAATACATAAATCCAAAAAGCTCAAGGAAACTTAAGCACAACAAACATGAGGAAAATTATGCTAATCAAATCAAGTTTTTCAAAACCAATGAAAAAGAGAAAATATTTACTGGAGGACCCCCAAAAGATGTTATATGTAGAATGACAAAGATAAAGATTGTAGTGGCTATTTCATTGGAAAGAATGAAAGTGAAAGACAATGGAGCAGCATCTTCAGATATGGAAAGTAAAACCTATTATGTAAAATTCAGTAACTAGTGAAAACATCTAAAAGAACCAAAAGCAAAATACTTTTTAAGAAATATAAAACCTGTAAGAATTTGTTACCAGCAGACTCACACTGTAAGACATATTAAATAAAGTTTTTCAGGTTAGAGGTAAAAATGATACCAAGTGGAAATAAGAATCCACCCAGAGGGGCAAAGAGTACCAGAAACAGTAACTCTTTATAAATACATACAACATTTTCTTGATACTTAAGTCTGTAAAAGATAATTTGCTGTTAAAAAATAAAATAATTTATTATAATTTATATAACATCTAACAGTATAAAGTATGACAATAGTAGCCCACAGGCAGGAGGGGACAAAATCTTATACGTGAAGTTTTTAATTATTACTAGAAGATCAGGTTAAGTTAAAGATGCATACTATAAACCTTAAAAGCTATAACTAAAAAACCAAAGAATTACAACTAATAAGACAACAAAAATACAATTTTAAATATAAAGAATACAATTCTGAACAAAATAAAAAAACATAAAACAGAATCATAAAATGATCTAAAAAAAAAGGCTGAAGGAGAGGAAATGAAGGAATGAAGAATAGATGAGCCACAGAAAACAAAAGCAAGATGAAGATTTAAGTCTAACAATACAGATAATATTAAATGTAAAGTTGTATACATGCCAAATAAAGTTCTGAAAGTTCTGAAATGGTTAAATTTGATTTAAAAAAAAAACAAGATGAGAGAATGTGAGGCTTAGATGGCTTCACTGATAAGTATTGCTAAATATTTAGACAATGTCTATAAGAAACAGACATTAACTATAAAGAGTCTAAAATGTTAATAATAGGATGAGAAAAGCTTGACTGGATATTTAATATCAAAAAATTAGATTTCAGAGCATGGAATATTATCAAACATAGAAAGGGTCACTTCATAATGATAAACAATCAATTAATCAGGAGGATTTTTTAAGATTCTCAAACAATTTACATCTGTATTTCAATATACATATTTAAAATATGTGAATCAAAAACTGACAGATTGGGCTGGGGATTTAGCTCAGTGGTTCCAGCACCTGCCTTGCAAGCACAAGCTCCAGAGTTTGATCCCCGGTACCAAAAAACCCAAAAAACAAACAAACAAAAAAACCTGACAGATCTGCAGGTAGAAATAAATCCATAATCACAGTTTTTAATACTATTCTGTTATGCCTTTTTGATAGATCATGTACACAGAAAATCAGGCTGGATATAGCATAACTGCACAATACAACCAACCAATCTGACCTAACTGATAGCATTCATAGCATGCTTCATATGGACTGAATTATATTACTCTCAAATTCATATGTTGAAGCCCTAACCTCCAGTGTGACTCTATCTGGACTTAGGGACTTAACAGTAAATGAGGTCATAGGGGCGGGGCCCTAATCTAATGTGACTGGTAACCTTATACAAAGAGAAAGAGACATTAGGGGTGCACAAGCAGAAAGAAAAGGCCACGTGAAGACCTGAAAGTTGAGAAGTGAAACCCTGGGAGAAATGAAACTTGTCAGTCTCAGACTTCTAGCCTCTAGAACTTGAGAAAATAAATTTCTATGGTTTCAGGCACCAAATCTGTGACATTTTATTACAGTAGCCCTGACAAGTTAATTCACCATCCCATGTAAGAATAGAAGAATATACATTTTTTTTTCACTTAGAACATGTGTCAAAATGCACTATGTTCTAGGTCAGTGATGGCGAGACTTTTAGAGCTTTCAATGATACCAACAGGCTACTGTAGCATGGATACCATAGATTCACCACCACTGTCTAGGCCATAAAAACATCTCAACAAATTTAAAAGGATTTACATTACAATGTAATTAAATTAGAAATCAATAACATAATTCTCTAGAAAATTCCCAAATACTTGAAAATTAAATACCACACTTCTAAATAATCGAGTCAAAGAAGAAATCAACAGAAAAATTAAAAAGCAGTTTGAACCAAATAAAATGAAAAAACAACTTATCAAGACATTTTGGATGCTGCTTGAGTATTGTCTATTTTAAGAAACAAAAAAGATCACATTATGACAGAAAAGAGACATTTTAGTAATATCAAGAATGAGAAAGGTGACATTAATATGGATTCTATAGATGCTAAAATTATAAGGGAATATTATAAAAAACTTTATGCCAATAAATCTGACAACTTAGATGAAATGGAGTAAGACTTAAAAACAAACTACTAAGGAAGGAAACATATTCTGAATACCCCATGCCTATTTTTAAAAAGTTAATTTATACATAAAAACCTTCCCACAGATAGAATGTTAAACTCAGATTCCCTAAAGATTTGGGAAAGAAGTAGTATCAGTTCTAAACAAATTCTTCCAGAAAACTGAAGAGAGAAATTCAACATTATTTTGATTAAACCTGATTGCACATTAGAAGGAAGCTACAGAGCAATATCCTTCATGAATACAGCTCTAAAAATAATCTTGGAAAATTAAATCCAACGCTATATAAAAATGAGAGTATATTATGACCAAATGGGGTTTGTCCTTAGCATACAAAGTTCATTTAAATTATTTTTAAAAAAATCTATTACTTCATCATCTTCACAAACTAGAAAAGAAAAATCAGAATCATCTCAATAAAAGCCCATAAATCATATACAATCTAGCATCAATTTCTGATAAAAATTCTTATCATACTAAAAGAGAACTTTCTCAGTCCAATCAAAGCATCTCTGAAAAGTCAATAAACTACACAAAGTTAAAGAGTGAATGCTTTTTCTGTAAGATTCCAAGAAAGGATATCTCCTATCCCTATTTCTATATAATATTTTACTGGAGGACCTAGCCAGTGGAATAAAGCAAGCAATAAATAAAGAAATAAATTAATAAATAAATAAAGACACTCAACCCGAAGAGGAAAGAGTAAAACTTTATTCTCAGATAACTTAATTCTGTATGTAGAAAATCCATTTGGTCTACAAAAAAGCTACCGGAATTAACAAGCTTTGCAAAGTTCCAGGATACAGGATGACTGTACAAAAATCAATCATTTTTCTACTTATTAGCAACCTACAATTAGAGATTGAAAAAATGCTACTTTTATAATTTTCTATACACTGAAAACTATAAGACTTTGATGCTAGAAATTTGCATGACCTAAATAAGTGACAGGGTAAACTATGTTCATACATAAGAAGACCCAACATTGTTCAGCTGTGACTTCTTCCCAAGTGACCTATAGATCCAATGCAGTTCTAAACAAAACCCAACCAAACTACCTTTTATGTAGTGACAAGCTAATTCCAAAATCACATGGAAATGAAAAGGACCCAGAATCATCAAAACAACAGGAACCCAGAAGTGTGATATTGGTAGATAAATAGATCAATAGAACAGACTAGACAGTCCCAAAACAGATCGACATATATTGACAATTTTTGGCAAAGGCAATTCAGTGGAGAAAGGATAATTTTTTTTTTTTTTTTTGTAGTGCCAGGGATTGAACTCAGGACCTTGTGCTTGCAAGGCAGGTGCTGTGCCACTGAGCTAAATCCCTGGCCCGAAAGGATAATTTTTTCAATAAATGATCTAAGAACAACTGGATATTCATAAGCAAGAAAAAGAACATGTATTCACCTTGTATTATATACAACATTTTACTCAATATGAATCACAAATTTAAATGTAAAAGTATAAAACGATTAGAAAATATGGGGCAAAAACTCTTTGTGACTTTTGATTTAATCAATGATTTTTAGATATGATACAAAAACAGGAATTAGAATAACCAGAATATTATAAGCAACTTTATGTAGATAAATTTGATAAAACATTGGACTAATTATTTGAAAGACACAAAATTGCAAAGCTCACTAAGGAAGAAAAAATACTCTGAAAAGTGCTATACTTTTTAAAGAAACTGAATTCTATAAAAAACAAATTGAAGAACTGAGCTTAATTAAAATTTAAAAAGAAGAGGGCCAGGGATTTAGCTCAGCAGTACAGCACTTGCCTGGCAAGCACAAGGTCTTGAGTTTGATCACTGGTATCAAAAAAAAGAAAAGAAAAAAGAACATACATGCTAGAGAAAATATTTGCAATGTATATAGCTGGAACATACTTAGGAAATATAAATATTCTTAAAACTCAACAATAAGTAAGCAAACAATTCCATTTAAAAAGTGGGCAAAAATTTGAATGTAACCAAAAAAAAATACAGATAGCAAAAAAACATGTGAAGAGGTGTTCAGAGCCTACAGTCCTTAGGAGAGGCATGTTAAAATCATAATTAGATACTACTACACACCTACTAAAATGACTAACATTTTGAAACTGACTATAATAAGCATTGACAAGAACATGGAGGAACCAGAACCCTCATGATTGTTGACAGAAAGGTAAAACAGTACATTCACTTTGGAAAACAGTTTCAGTCTCTTAAAATGTTATATATAAACTAACTATAATGTAACCATTCCTTTCCTAGATATTTTTCCAAAAGGAATGAGAGCATATGTGTATACAGAGATTTATATATGAATGGTCCCAGCAATCTTATTGGTTATGTTAAAAAAAACCCAAAATGTCATTAATAGGTTTAATAATGAAACAAATTATTATATACCCATACAATAGGATACTATTTCACAATAGGAATGGATTATTTATTGGTATATAGAATAACATGGATGAATCTCTAAATAATTATGCTATGCAAAAGAAATCAGGAGTTTATAATGTATGTTTTCATTTATATACAATTCCATTAAGCACATACAAATGTATAGTAGTTCACATCTGTGGTTACTAGGGACTGGGGACTAGGTGGTAGACATGAGAGGGAGGAATTACAAAGGTACATAACAAAAGTTTTACAGTTTCTGCAGGTATTATTTTGTTTACGATGATGGTCCTGGGTAAATATATATGCTAAAATTAATCAAATTTTAGACTTCAGAAAAAAATAGCAAAGGGAAATACTCTCTCCTACTGTGTTATATTACTTTATCTTTCAAGAAATACTTTATGATCATTGGAGAAATATACTTTCTCAGTCCTTGGTTTGAGCTTTGCTAAGTGACTTTTCAGTTGATACATACTGGCAGATACAAAAAGAAATTTGAAAGGTGACTATATATTTGAAAGGTGACTATTTACTTTGTATTGTCATGAGAATGACTTCTCTGGGTCACTGCTGGTTCTCCTTCCAGGCACCCGAATGAACATATGTGGGGTGGACCTGAGGCCAACCCACCAGAGACCTTTATATCTACTTCTAGAAGCAGAAGCATCTGCCCAGGCACATTCTGGGTCAGCAGACTCTCAGTTGACTTACAGAGACTTAAAAAGTAAATCTTCATTATACTAAGCTACTAAATTTTGTTGGTTATTACATAGCAATACCTGCCTGATTGACCCACTTAAAATAGCCTTATCAAATTCAAGACTGGGAGCCAAACATACCTTTGAATCTGGGCTTCCCAAGATGATCAGTTTCTCTTGTTGGACTTGAGCTGAAGTCAGTTGTATTACCTGAGAATGCAGGATTATGAACAATTTTGGTAAAGGATAAGGAAAGCTTCATGATGCAACCAAAACTGTAGTAAGGACTAAAGATATTTAATATTCTTCCTAAATTGCCAGCAATTTTAATTTCCTTTATCATTATTATACATATTCATCTACAATAAAAAGCCTTTAAGTGTGTCCTTAGTATAAGATGTTCTGGAATATAATAAATCACGAGTTATACATTGCAACCAAGTAGTTAATCCCACTAATAAATTAAGATATGTGTAGTTAGTAATGACATATGATTCCATAGCAGCAATGGATAGTCTAGATCTTTTTAGGAAAGAAACTTAGCTCTTCTATGTCTGTTAAGGGAAGAAGCATATCTTATACCAAGCATTGAAAATAAATATAATTTTAAAATTGAAAAGGCACAAATTAATAATAAAATTGAGAAAAATAGAAGATCCAGAACTGAGACTCTATTCCTCCTATAAAATATTTTAGGTCCTCATAGCAAAGCATCCAATGAGAATGGACTAACATACTAACCAAGTTCTTCTCCAGAGGCAGGAGGTGTTGGTTGCCTTTTGTCTGCTTCTTTTATCTCTGAGGTGGTTTCAGTAGGTTTGAGTGTTGCCCTCATGGGTGGGGAAGTTACTCGTGATGAAATGATTCCTGTAACAACAGAGAGCCAAAGTAGTAAGTCTTTATAGGACCATTTCCAAGTTTCCCATTTATTTATGCAATAAATGTTTATTAATTCCTTACTATGTAGCTTGGCACTATTAGCCAGGCTTAGAGAGGAAACAGAACTTGGTTCCTGATATAGATGGATGTGTGAGCCATGGATATTGACACACCATAGACATTGCGAAAGAAATAGGTAAGTCATAGGGGGGCAAGAAGAGGGAGTGGTTGCATCTATGGGAAAAGACAGAAGGTGTTATGGTCGGTAGGAATGTCTTTACAGAGGATGACCCAGTAAGGGCAGAAGTGATAAGCAGATAGAGATGAGAGTTTTATTCCAGCCTGAAGTTGCTGTAAGAGCTATGTAGGGGAGATGAAATAGCTTGGTTTATTTAATTTGAAGGGGTGAGAGAAGAGAGAACCCAGAGAGTACAGTGAGAGCGGAGAGTGGAGAAATCGAGAAGGACGGATTATCAAATATCTTGCACACCTTGGGTTCAGATGTTATTTTAAGGTAATAAGGAGCTATGGAAATATTTTCAATAGGAAAGAAATAGGATGAGAAGATGAATGGTTAGAGTGTAAGTCCTGGGGCGGGGGGCGGGGAGAGGGAGAGAGAGGCTAAGGCAGTTATTTAGGGGAGAGAAGAAAAGGTGAAGCACAACAGAAGCAGTGAGACTAGATGGGAAAGGTCAGACTGAGAAATATCAAGGAGATGGAATGACTTGACTTGGAAATTAGGTGGTAGACATATGATGTGTCTGGTGCCCAGAGCAGAGCTATCCTGAGTTGCTATATTCAACAGTGATTCTTCCACTCTAAAATTACTTATACTGTACTTCTCTAAAGCTGGATCGACCTCAAGGTCTAAGGATTCTAAGTGTTTAGAGAAGAAAAGAGTTTAGATTGGATTTTATATTGTCATGGGAAAAAAGTCCTTCTTGGGCCACACAGATTGGTGGTCCATCATGGAATCACAGGCAAGTCAAGCCTCTGGTCTACATTTAGAGATACATACTGTTGGTTCTAGAGGCAGTAAACTACAATAAGGGGCCAAGTGAAAATAAGAGGCACAAATTAGTCATAACATTGAGAAAAATAGAAGATCTGGAACTGAGACTCTATTCCTCCTATAAAATATTTTAGTTCATGGTTTGCTATGAGGAACTAAGAGGACAAGCAAAAGAAGTTGCACTTCAGCTGGCATAAGCTTTTCAGAGATGGCAGAGTCATCAGGAAATACTGGCAATGTTTTTTATCCTGGCAAGAAAATTGGAACTCAGAGATAGGAAGATCTGGAGACGGGGGACAAGTTGTGCAAGATGGGGAACAGATTCCATGCAGCAGCCTAAAACTGTGCTCTCAACCACTCCTAGACATTTAGTGACTTTCCTGAATTCAGGATATACATTCTGTAATGTTAATCAGGCCCAGTCTGTACTACTGCCCTTGTTTATTGTTGGCTCCTCAATGCAGCCATTTTCTTTGCATTAGAGGTGAGTGGTGGTTTACGCATCCAGGCATTACTTTAGGTATGTGACTCATCCAGATCTGAAGGCAGCTGGCACTCATGTTATTCAGTAAAACCTGTTTTCCGCATGAGACTGTGTCACTAGGCCTTCACTCAGAAAGACACTGGATGCATGGATGAAAGGCTGATTCCTCCTTCAGACATTGGGCAAAATGATCTAGAGTTTATGACATGTTACAAAAGGTTCACCATCACTATGACCTCTTTTTATCCTAAAAAATGAATGATATCCATTCTCCTTCACACAAACCCTCATCAGTTTTATCCTTTACAACTGTCTTTTATACTTTTATTCTGATTCCACTTACCAACTATTTAGGAAGTAGAGATTTGGGGAGAGGAAAAAACAATAGGGAACATGCTATAACTTGATGGTAGGTCCCAGGGAAAAAAGCCCCTAATAAAAATATGGTAGAGTTTTCCTTTGAACCAAATCATTTTTCACTGACTCTTAATCCAATTCATTTCCAGTCATTATTTATCAAATATTCTCCATGTGCTAAGTGCTGGGTTTGGTACTGGAAATTCAGGAAAATATACCAAAGACTATCATCACAGAGCTTGTGTTGCAGTTAAGGTTTGGAGTGCCCTGCCCCTGGCCTCATGTGTTCAGAGATGGTGCTTTAGGAAGGTGGTTGCATCAAGGGGATGATGTACCTATGGGTAGATTCACCCACTGGTGAGATCAATAGTTATGTATGCTGTTAGGAAGTGGGGCCTGGTTAGAGGTGGATTACTGGGCATGTGACTTAGAATGGTCTATCTCCTTCCCTGGCTCCTCACCTCTGTCTCTGTCTCTGTCTCTGTGTCTTTTTCTGCTTCCTGACAGCCATGGCATGAGCAGCTTTCCTTCACTATGCCCCTCCGCCATGTTGTTTCTGCCCTGGAGGCAGCTAACCACAGACTACAACCACGAACCAGAATAAACCTATTCTTTTTAAAGTTGTGATGTGGGTATTGTGTCTCAGCAAGGAGAAAATGATTAAGACATCTTAGTCTAAAGGGAAGACAAGTATGCAAACAAACAGATATAAAACAATTTGTTCTTTGCTCTAACAGAGGTATGTATCAAGGTCACATACAAAAGCAATGCCAAAGGTTCTCTGGGGAGGTAGAGGAGGGATGATGTGTGAGTAACCATGGTCTAGAGGATTCATGCTATGTGGAGGAGCAGTTTCTACTCAGGTATGGAGGTGAGAAGCAGCTTGACTTCTAAGACAGATGCCTGTTTGGTTACATGGGCTAGGCCTGCTCAGTTACCTCAGTAATTTAGTCCTAACTCTTCCCCTAAGCACCATAATGCTGGGGCTAGCATAAATGCTAGGGCAACTTTAGGTGAGATATATATAGGACTTCATTTCAGGAGGCAGGGCATCACATTTTCCATTATCTCTGGGGGCTTTGCAATGTATATTATCTTATCCTCCAGTAGAATCCACTTGACAGGCTAGAGTCATCTTCTATCTAGGTTTCAAGCATGCAAACATCTAAGCAGCAAACTAGCTTAGATGCAGAGGGATAGTTTCCTTTCCTCTACCAATCCAGAGTCAGAATATAAATCTATAAGTTATAATTTATAATGTTCAATCTGTGGGGCCCACAGAAGCTTGTGTCACATACATCAGTGGGTTATCTGGTGCTTCAAGAACAGTGTAAAAATTAGAAGTCATGGCTAGCAATAAAAGAATCATACCACAGTGATACATGCTCATCCATGTTTATGGTGGCACAGTTTGTAATAGCTAAAACTTGGAAATAGCCCAAATACTCTTCAACTGGAGATTGGATAAAGAAGATGTGGTTTTTCTATAAAATGGAGTACTACTCAGCCATAAAGAATGAGAAACTAGAGACATTTATAGCTAAGTGGATGCACATTGAGGCCATACTCTTAAGTGAAATAAATGGGACACACATGTAAATATCGAATAGTTTCTCTGGTGTGAAAAACTAAAAGTGTAAATAAGGATCAAAATGTATAATTGATATTGTGAAATAGGAAGAAAAGGTCTAAAGAAGTAGGGGAAGTGGGAGGGGTGGGGGAAAGAAAAGGAAGGAAAAGAAAAAATACGAGAAAAGGAAAAAAAATGGAAACAAAGTCTTTGTAAATAGGGAAAGGGAGGAGGGGGTGAAGGGAGGGCAGGGGAATGGGGAAAAAATAAGAACCAAGATACATCATGTAAAGGGACAGGATTCCAATGATGAATGTAACTATATTGTATACCTAAAATGTACCAATAAGCTTAATGAAAGGAACAAAAAGAAATCATGGCCAGCAAAACTGAAATAATGGAGGTGGAAGGAAAGTAAACAATGGACATACTTGAGCTTCCTGGCTTTCCAGTGACATTATTTGGTGGTAAAGGTTTTCTTCGTGGGGGCACAGGTCTAGATGGCAAAGGTGGGTGGTGAGTCCTTGGGATTGTACCTAAAAGATTATATTACAGATAAGTTCATCATAAACATTCACTATACAAAAATCACAGTTTTCTTTAAAAAATAACCTTTGAGAAGTAGCTGTTGATGACAGAGTAGATTTTGTACAAAAGTACATATAAGTAAATATGCTGACTTTTTCTAAATTAATACTGTTCATCTACCAGTGAAGCAAATCAGTACATGTAAAACATTCTATAATTACAGTTGCAAGTATCTAAGTATATCTGCCATTTGAAAGGCTGTGTAGATATATAGAATTTAACATTTTACATTCCCTGAATAGGCTGGAATTTGTGAACTTCATTATTTTCAATTGCTTTTGATTTTGAGACCACATTTTTTATGCCATTTTTAGCTTCAAATTGTTAAGCATATAATTTCTCTTTGGTAGGTGTTTAAACCCATCCCTTAACTTTATTATTATATAGTTAAATAAACACCTTCAGAATCTCTCAAATGATGGTACCAAAATAGCCCTGAGGGAAGAAACAATAATTCTGTGCCTGGGGAGAGCAGGGTCCCTAGAGCCACTTGTGGTGGTTATGCACTGCAGCATGACTCCTGGCTAGAGGCTGTAAGTGGAGCCAAAGTTTCACCCATTCTGCTCATTCACATAGAAGCTCTGTTGCTTCACCAAAAGCTCTGCCAGCTCAGAGAAAGGCACATTTGTTTTTCTAACTCATCTGCCTAAAGAGCAAGGGAAATAAGTGCCTTTTAATCATTTGCACAAAGTTGTCTACTTTCCACAAAAGTTGTCAGGGATAAAGGTGTTTAACCCAAATTTTAAGTCTTGTGTTATAACTCAGAAGTTTTCTTTCTTTGCATTATTTGATTTTTAAACCTTTAAGAATAATAGTCAATAGAGGAAAATGCCTTATGGCTTTAAGGATTTCTTGGGGGTACTGGGAGACAAAGAAGGCGAGAAAGGGAAAGGAAGGGGAAAGGGAGGGAGAAGGGGAAGAATGGTGATAGACATTAGTGAAAAAGAATATATCTCAGTATCCTTGGAAAAACCAAAGGTATTCTGAAAATTGCTAGCTTCATAATTTTACCTATTTCACACGGTATATTCTTCTATCAAGAACAGAAATCATTACTGGACAAGGATAGCATAATAAACCACACAACAGTAAAACTTAAACATGACAAAAACTGGAACCCACAGTGACAGAACATTATGTAAAGTAATTATTAAATTCGTACCCCACCTGAAGTTCTTGTTAACATTTAATTTGTGCACAGAGACTTTTCATTCCCCTAAAGATAATATTTTGGACTATTTTTCTCACAGTATGTATATACTTTTAATGTGGCTCTGACATGTTGAGGGCCATATGGATGTTGCTATTTTTGATCCAACAAATTCTACTGCAATTACTGTGCAAGTTTCAAACTTGGGCTGCAGTAGGGGAGTCAGCATTTTATTCTTACCTGGTTTTCTTGTGTATTGGGTAGAATCCACCGAAACATTTCTACCACTGCCTGATGGCTTAGGTGGTTGTTTGGCCCCTATGAGCAGAGATAATGAAAGAGAATAAATATATAGCAAAAATATACTAAATTCTTCATCAGAACTTGGTAGTCAGTGACAATATACATTCTGGCCAGAGCAGGGATATTAGTGCTTTTGTGCCCAGATATTTTAATTGGCCTTTATCTAGGTATATAAAAAATTCAAAACCCTACATTCATTGGCTATATTATCTCCTTAGAGATAAGGATTGTAGGTTGTTGGTTTGTCACAATTTTTCATGACCCTCCTCCTGTACTGCCTTACTGGGCATTATTGCCTTGCCAGGCAGAATTTCATCTTTGGCTAAGTGTCTGCTTTTTGCGAACGTTTGTGGGTACATTTTGTGTTTAAAAAAATTCCTCCAACTACTCCATGCCCATAGAAACCTTGGAATTGCAATGTGTTTGGGTTTATGCTTAATGAATTAACTTTAAAAATTTTTCTGGGCTATGAAAAGACTTCTAAATTTAATAACCAAACTCAGTAGCATAGGTGGATACAAAATCAGCACTCAAAAATCAATAGCATTCCTGTACACAAATAAAAAACTCACTGAGAGAGAAATTAGGGAAACCACAACTTCACAATAGCCTCAAAAAATGAAAAATGTAGGAATCAATCTAACAAAGAAAGTAAAAGATCTTTACATTGAAAACTACAGTACTCTGAAAAAGCAGATCAGAGAGGATATCAGGAAATGGAAAGATATCCCTTGTTCTTGGATAGGCAGAACCAGTAAACTGAAAATGGCCATACTTCCAAAACTGTTATACAGATTTAATGCAATTCCAGTCAAAATATCAATAGTATACCTCACAGAACTAGAGAAAACAATCCTAAAATTCATATGGAACCAGAAGAGATCTAGAATAGCTAAAGCAATTTTGAGCAGCAAAGGCAAGGGGGGTGACATCATAATTCCTAACTTGAAATTATACTACAAAGCTACCATGATAAACACAGCATGGAACTGGAAAAAAAATTAGACCTGAGGACCAATGGAACAGACTGGAAGTTGCAAAAACAACTCCTCCAACACACTCAGCCACTTTATCTTTGAAAAGGGGGCCAAACACCTTCACAGAAGAAAGATAGCCTTTTTAATAAACGGTGCTGGGAAAACTGGCTTTCCACATGCCAAAGATTAAACCTAGACCCGTATCTCTCAAATGGACTAAACTAAAATTGAAATGTATCAAAGATCTAAATATCAAAACAGAAACAATCTGTTGGAAGATAGAATAGGTAGAATTCTTTTTTTTT